GGGGAGTATTGCCATCCTGTCAATATTAAGTCTTCCAATCCATGAACATAGAATGTCTTCTTTAATTTCTTTAAAAAATGTTTTGTGATTTTCAGTGTGCAAGTCTTGCATTCCTTTTGTTAAATTTATTCCAAAGTATTTTATTCTTTTGGTGCTATCATAAATGGAATGATTTTCTTAATATCATTTTCAGATTGTTCATTGCTGGTGTATAGAAAAGTGCAAGCAATTTTTATATATTGATCTCTTATTCTATAACCGTGCTGACCTCACTTATTAGCTCTAATAATTTTTGTGTGTGTGGATTCCTTGGGGTTTTCTCTATACAAGATCATGTCACCTGTAAATTGGATAGTTTTACTTCTTCCTTTCCAATCTGATGCCTTTTTTTTTTTGTTGTTATTGCCTAGTTGCAATGGCTACAGGCTCCATTACAATGTTTAATAGAAATGACCAGAGCAGATGTCTTCTAACATAGGGGAAAGTTCCTTTCTTCTAAGATAGGAACTCATCATTGAGTATGATGATAGCCGTGTGTTTTTCGTAGATGCCCTTTATCAGATTGAAGAAGTTTCCCCTTTATGTCCGGTTTGTTGAGTGTGTTTATCATGAAAGAATGTTAGATTTTGTCAAATGCTTTTTCTGATGAGATAATCTTATAATTTTTGTGTCTTATCCTTCTAATATGGTGTATTATGTTGATTGGTTTTCATATGTTAAATCAGCCTTGCATTCCTGGAGTAAATCCCATTTGGTCATGGTATACACTCTTTTTTAAAAATATGTTGCAGGATTTGGCGCACTAACATTTTGTTGAGGATTTTTACTTCAATTTTAGAATGGATATTGGTATAGTTTTTTGGTGATACATTTGTCTGGTTTTGGTATCAAGGTAACACTTGATTACAGAGTAAGTGTAGGGGATAGTAAGTAAGGGGTTACAGAGTAAGTTTTGAGGTATTTCTCTTCTTTTACTCTTTGGAAGAGTTGGTGAAGCATCGTGTTAATTCTTTAAACATTTAGTAGAATTCACCAGTAAGCCCTCTGAACCTGTGCTTTTCTTTCTAGGAGGTTTTTTGATTACTCAATTCAATCTTTTGTTACTCTATTGTTTTAAAAGATTTGAGAAGCCTTTACTTACTCTCCACTTTCTTGGACATGGCATCTTTTCACTGGAGCCCTAAGCCTCTGGATCGTGGCAAACAACCCTGGCCAGAAAGGAATGAAGCTTAGCTATTTACTTACTGGTTTCCAAGTGGATGACCTTGAGTACTAGTCTCTGTTTTCTCGCCCAGTAATACTTAGAGCAGCAGCTCATCTCATGCCCTACAGTAAACTCAGTACATGTTGCTGTCAAAGGGAAGGAGCACTTCCTATGTTTGCAAGTGATTGACAAAGTCAGCCCAGTGGAGGAGTCCTGGATTTCCCTGCCAGGAAACTGCCAGCCCCAGCCAGCTTTTAAGCAGAAGGAATGACTTAAGCTTATAAGTCAGAATGATCTTTCTGGCACAGAATGGAGAACCAGTTAGAAGGAATGAGAGATTAGAGGGAAGGAGACAGGCAAGAGAGGTGAACTGGCTTTGGGCCCTTCCCCTCTTGTTCTTTGTTGCAGGGGCCTGACTTCTGCAAGCTGTTTCCAGTATGCCCTAGTCAACTGGTTTCTGCCTGGGTTTGGCAAACAGGAAGCATTGGCAGGAAATTGAGGAGCAAAAGGAGAGAGCAGCCAGGGTATCTCTCTCTCTCTCTCTCTCTCTCTCTCTCTGCCTCCAGCAGCAGCACCTCTGACAGACTCATCCCCCCCCCCCCCCGCCCCGCCTCCTGGGGTTTTGGCTCCCAGGAGGGAGCTTCTGCTGGGTTCTGTCTCCCAGGCTGTGGCCCCAGCTTCTGGGCTCTTGGAACTCCATCTCATCCCTTTGTCCTTTCTAGCCCTAGGAAAGTTAGTGGCCTCCTGCCGCTTTAGAATTCTGGGATGAGATACCATCCTATTTGGCTTCTCATTGGTTTAATTCCCTTAAATCTCCTTTATTTGAAAGATCTGGAGTGATACTTTTGTCCTGGCTGGAGCCTGACAGATATTGCAAAAGCCTGGATTGCAGCAGGCCAAGGAGACGGTGTGTGTGTGCTGGGGGAGTTGCAGTGGGAGGGAGGTTGAGGGAGGAATCCAGATGACTGAGATTTTTAGCTTTACTGGCTGGGCAGGGAATGGTGTTAAACCAGGTTAAGGATTACAGGAGGAGGAGCCAGCTTCCTTTGGAGGGTGGGGGAAGATACTGGATTGGAGGGGGACGTGGTGACACCTCTGTGACCGCAAGGGGGTGCTGTGCCGGGAATCAGTCTAATTCCAGGGACTTGGCTCAGCACGCTGGTCGCTAGGCGATGGGTTTGTTGGTCAGGATTTAGGAACTGATTGAGTATAGATTGGTCACAACCCAGCAGCGTCTGGTGCTCGCTCAGAAGAACACAGAGACTGAGGAAGGCAAGAAGTGAACCCGGAGCGCTGGGGGCCCCAGGATGTACCAGGGGAGCTCCCCTAGAGGCAGAGCAAACAGCAGGGCCTGAGTTTGGGCGTGGGGTCGGCGGGGAGGTACTGAAGGGGTGGAGGGACGCACATGACAAAGAACTTTTCCCTGGGCTCTACGGGGGCCTAAAACACAGGAGCAGTATTTACCTTTGTGGCACACTGATACTCTTAAGTAGGTTGAAGTGAAAATGCAGGGAAAGCTGTAAGTCGACAGTGGCCTGAGGGTCAGGACAAGTCAGTCTGAGGTTTAATGTACTGTGGAAAATTCCACACTCAGGTGATCAAGAGTGGAGCCCTCTGCCTCCCCCCCCCAATCATCTTTTCCCTTTTTATTGAAGCCTGGCTTCTTGATGAGTGCTCCTGCTAATCAAAGCAGGTCTAGGCATGGCCGAGCATTTTTTCAGATTCTGAAGGCTATGTCCTGGTCTTGCCAGGGGGGCCCCATAGCCTGCTTTGTCCCACCCATGCTCTGCCCCAGGTTGCTTGCTGATGCCCGCCTACCTGCCCTCACCTCTCCCAGGCCCCCTCCCCACTTCTGCTTGTCTTTGTCATCCAGCCGGGGTCTCCTCCTTTTCCCTGCGAGGAGTCCACCCTGGGTGACGTGTCAGTGACAACCTCTGCAGCTCTTTTGTCCACTTCAATTTCCCCTTCCTCTTCCACCTTTATTTATAGTTAGTATCATACAATTTGGCATTGGGTTTTTAATTATCTCATATCTGTCATTTGCCTCTCTCAAACTAGATTGTATGTTTAATTAATTCAGTAAACTAGCAGATACGTGAGTGCCTACTCAAGGTTGGGCTCTGGGGCTGTGCCATGTCTAAACCGTTTGTTTTGTGTCTCCACAGTTGCACCAGGGACCATGCTTGCCACACAGGGCTACTTGTGATGGGGTGGGTCTTTAAACATTTTTCCCTAGCAACCCCCGGGGTGCACTGTTGAAGATAAACTCCACCCGAGTAACTCACTCTTGCTTAAGCAAAAGTGCAGTGTTTTCAGTGTACTGAAATTTTCTCCATTTTAGACAAAAACAGATTTTGGTTTGGCGCTGATATGAAACAAAATAATCTTGTCTCTAACTCCTACCACGTCCAGCTTCAGGTTGGATCATCCCAATCTGTGGACTATCTTGCAGGTTGTGGGGCTCTAGAGAGCCCGTCTCCTGTGGCTCCTTTACTTTGAAAGCCGGTGACTCTTTGGGTGTCCTTAATGCCTTTTTTCTCCCCTGCATTGTGTGCTAGCTGCTGTATTTTTCACTCGTAGGATCTGGGTCCTTACTACTGGCATCTTCCTGGGGCCTAGATGCATGCATACAAAGCTGGCCACACTTTAAAAGATCATCTAGTTCATACTCCTGTTCAATATCTTAAAAACCACGACTTCTGACTCTTCAGACAGTGCTCCCTCCACCACCACTCATCACTTGGCTTCCATCATTTCCAAACCATGTCTGGTGTTCATTTTCTTCCCCCAAATGTTCCTGATGCTTCGGGAATGAAAAAAGCATCCATATTTGGAAAGCTCAGAGCTCTCTGGGGGCGGGAGCAGAGCACAGACTGTTCTGTGGAGAAGGAGGGTGTCAGAGCTGGCTCTTCCCGCTCTCTCCCTCACGCTGGGACTGGTGCAGAAGAGTGGGAAGCTGTGGTGGGCTGGGGCTAGCCATCCCGGAGCTGGGCCTTGACCTGGGCTGGGCCTGCTGGGGCAGGGCCTTGACCCAGCAACCAGGCAGAGGCCTGCAGCTGCCCTGAACGGTACACTGAGAACTCAAAAGACAGGGAGGGGTTCTCGGCTTTGGTGAGCTCCTATTGTGTGCCAGCTTCTGGAATACTAGTAGCAAATTATTATTAATACCTACAGCATTAAAGATATCCCTTCTACACACCATTCTAAGCCCTTGCCCCTTAACACCCTTCATCCTCACAGCAACCCTGTTAGACAGAAGCAGGTAGGGTTCCCCATTTAAGAGGAGTGAGGGGTGGGTCCCCTGTGCCAGCCCCTGGCCCTTTTTCTTCCTTTGGTGTCAAGGGCTTGCTTCCTAGACTGGGGCTGGCGTATCGTGTTGGTAGGAACCCCCAGGTGACCTCCAGATACCATCCAAGCCGGACTCCGGTCGCGTGGACTCCAGGGTTCGGGGGGTGCACTGGTTTGCTCCCAGGAGCTCTTGGATAACTTCCATCTCCGTGAACAGCACAGACAGCACTCGGGGTTCCTATGTAAGCAGTAGAGTTCTTTGGTCCTGTGAGCACGTTCCAGAACCGGAATTCCACAGAAGGCCTCGAGCGAGGCCACCTGCTCAAGGCTCCGTCACGGGCCACACCAACCTGGACTGCGGCCAGCAGCCACTCCAGAGCTTCCAGGCCGAGCCGGCTGCCGCCGCCAGGGGGCGCGGGAGCCGCGTCCTCGCCCGGCGTCCGGGTGGCGCCTGCGCCAAGCCGGCCCCAGAGCCCCCGCCCGCCGCCTCCCGCCTCCCGCAGCGGCCTCCGCTGCCCTCGCCCGGGCTGACTCGCGGCAGTCCCCGAAACTGGGGTCATTGTGAGATTTGGCGCTAGGCCAGGGGTCAGAGGAGAGGGGTGAGCTTGCCAGGCTTCTTTATTAAGCTCGGGCCGGTTCTGGAAGCCAGGCCTCGCCGGCAGGTGCTGACCCCGCCCAGCCTCTGCTGCTTCCCCGCAGGCGTCGGCGGCCCTCGGTCCCGAAGCTTTCCGGGCAGGCATCACTTGCAAAGGGAAAGGACGTGCCAATCTGTAGGCTGCTGGCGGAGATTTCGCGGGAGTTAACGCGGCCCCCTTTTATCACGGACCGAAAAACCCCCGGTCATGAGGACAGTGGAAGCCCAAGGATGATTTTCCTGGAGGAGTGCTTGGTAGATTAATGTACCGGTCTTGGAGTGACAGTATCTAGGTCTGACCTTCATGAATTGGGTTTTTGCCAAGGACCCTCTAGGTATCCCAGAGGCCCAACACGGACAGGTAACTGCTGACGGTGCCTCTTCCCTGGCAGAAGGAGTCTCCGGTCCGTTGGGGCCCGTGGTCCAGCCACTGTGGCCCTGCTCTGGCAGTTAGCTTGTGGGATCAGGGCTCTGGGCTGACTCTGCCAGTACCAGTACAAATGTGACCTTGGGCAGATCAGGAACCCTCTCTGAGCTTGAGTTTCCTCATCTGCAGAGTGAGCAGAGAAGATAGGAGATCCAGGTTTTTTCCTTGAGAAGCTGCTTTTCTCCTTTCTTCCTTTTCTTGCTTTTTTTTTTTTTTTTTTTTTAAGACTTTAGATCCCTTTGGGTACCCTGAAAAAAGTAGTTGCATAGAAATCGAAAGGTGGAGGGAATAGAGGTGGGGCCAGGGGTGTCCTTGCAGAGTGCTTGCTTTTGCCAGTGTGCCAAACCCAGAACCGGTGGCTGCAGGGGTACAAGAATGGGAGGAGCTTTGAGGCCAGGGCCTGGCGGTGGGGGGAGGGGTTGTGCAGCATAAGCCTTCTCACTGGTGATCTCAGGCCTCCTCCCAGCTAGATGTAACCATTTTGCCACTGGTGGGAGGCCACATGCTGTGCAGCCACTCATCTCAGGTTGCTAGTCAAAGCTTCCTGTTTATATTTAGATGGTGTAAGAAGAGTAAGAGCCCTTTTACTGCCACTGACCCATATTCATATTTAATGTTGGTGGTGTTAATAGGCTCCTCGTTGGTTCTCCTTGTGAAAGCAAGCAGAGACTCAAAGAGACCAAAAAAAGTTTGGGGGCTGGAGTCCAAGGCCAAGGTCCACTGAGGTGCTTGTTCTTAGTTCTTCTGTGATACCTGCTCTGTCTGAGTCACTGCACTTCTTACATTGTTTTGAAAAGGCCTTTCTCCTCCATTGCACTGGAGGTGAGTTTCTCCAGGGAGAAGAGCGGGGCCTGAAGCCCAGCCCGCACCAGAGCACTGCACACGGGGTGCTCAGTGAGAATTGTGGAAATGAAGGAAGGACAGGCACATCTGTTCACTGGCAGCCCTCATTCCTTGCCGTAGTCAGGGCACCAGGGCCTGCATTTGCACTGTAGGGATCTTCTAGGATGATGAGTCAGTCCGCTTCTCTTAGGAAAGCTGAGACCAGAGTTTACACAGCATCATGAATGGTTAAGGTTGAGGGTGTATGCTAAAATGTTAATTGCGTTTCATTCTGAATGGTGGGTATATGGATGATTATTATTTCCTTCTCAGTGCTTTTCTGTCTTTTTCACACACCTCTCAAAAAAGACGAGCTTTGTCATTGCCCCCAGGAAAGGGTCTTGGTTCGTAATAATAGTTACCATTTATCAAGTACTTACTTCACTGTGTGCCAGGTAGTGGGCTGAGCCTCATAGTAATTGTAGTAAGTGCTCCTATTCTCATTGACTTGATGAGGAAGCAGGCTCTAAGACACTGAGCAGCTTTCTCAAAGCCATCGAACTAATAAATGGAAAAGCAAGGGTGTTTGGGTCCGTGTCTGTCTACCCAGAAGCCCTTGTCTTTTCACTTCTTAATATTTTATCCAGCAGTGTGGCAGTTAGATAGTAATGTGATTTTTTAGAACAAAGATCGAAAGTAATACAACACTTTAATATTATATAATTATAATAATACCCCATGTCCTGTATCAGTTTTGTTCTAGGTATATATCCAAGAGAATTAAAAACATATGCCCACACTTATGATGAGCCCTGAGTAGTGTATGGAATTGTTGAATCACTGTGTGATTCACTGTGAATCACTGTGTTGTACACCTGAAACTAATATTACACTGTGTTAATTACACTGGAATTAAAATTAAAAACTTAATGAAAAAAAACAAAGACTGGATGTTAGAACAACAGCTACAAGAAAACATATGTGTATACAAAAGCCAATATGTGAATATTAATAGCACCATTTTTCATAATTTCCAGAAAATGCAAACAACCCAAATGGCCATCAAATGATGAGTGGAGGAATAAACGTGCTATACCTGTACCATGGACTATTACTCAGCAATAAAAAGAATGGAGTATTTGGAACTAGATAGAGATGCGGTTATATAATATTGTGAATGTAATAAATGCCATTAAATATTTTTAAAATGGCTAATTTTATTTAAAAAAAGGCTAATTTTATGTTATGTGCATTTTCCCTCAATTAAAAAAAAGAATGAAGTCTGATACTTGGTATAAGAGCTATGAACCTTGAAAACATGCTGAGTGAAAGAAGCCAGAAACAAAAGGTCTCATACAGTCATATTCCATTGACATGGAATATTCAGAGCAGGCCCGTCCATAGAGACAGAAAGTGGATTGGTGACTGCCACGGTCTGGGAAGAGGGTAAAATGGGGAATGACTGTGCATGGGTATGGGATTTCTCTTAGGGGTGATGAGAATGTTCCTGAATTAGCTAGTGGGGACGGTTCCATAGCTACGTGAATATACTAACACCACTGACTTGTGGTTTTTTAAACAGACTAAGTTTTGTAATATATGTGTAATATATCAGTAAAGCTGTTATTAAAATCTGTATAGAAATATAGCAAATGAATAAAATGTTCCCACTTGGAGACCTTCCAGCCTCCTATTACCTAACAACAATAGTGGTCTCGAGAATAATCTTGGTCAGTACTATTTTTCAGGTGCTTACTGTATGTTGGGTACTGTTCCAAGCACATAACAGTTTGTGTGTTTTTAAAGATTTTATTTATTTATTTGTCAGAGAGAGAGAGAGAGTACTGGCAGGCAAAGTGGCAGGCAGAGGCAGAGGGAGAAGCAGGCTCCCTGCGGAGCAAGGAGCCCAGTGTGGGACTCGATCCCAGGACGCTGGGATCATGACCTGAGCCGAAGGCAGCCACTTAACTGACTGAGTCACCCAGGCATCCCATTTTATTTATTTATTTATTTATTTATTTATTTATTTAAGATTTTATTTGCAAGCACATAACAGTTTTACATACAAAGTCAGCTGTGGGTTGGAAACCAAGGAGTCTGGCTCCAGAGCCCATGTTCTTAGCCTCTACATAGTGCTGCTTTACATATAGAGACAGGTGAATCAGAGACATGAGAAAGTGTAATGTAAAAGCTAAGAGCGAAAACTCAAGTAAGAGTATCTGGTTGGAATCCTACTCTGCCACTTACCAGTTGCATCATCTTGGCTGGGTTACTTAATAGCGCGGAGACCAGTTTCCTCATCTCTAGAATGGGATGATAGTGAGTCCTCTCTCAGAGCATTCTTGTGAAGGTCAAGTCAGTTATGCCAGACTCTCAGAAGTATCTCATGTGTAGCTAGTACTCACTACCTGTTGTTACTACTATTATGGTGTAACTAAGTAATGACTTAATGAGCCTAAGTTCAATTGCAGACTCATCAAGTGAGCATTTCAGATTAAATTAGCATCTCATTTGCTTACAGAATTATGGAAGGGGCTTTGAAAGGTCATCTGCTCTAGCAGGTGAATGTCTGATTCAAGGTCTGGCATCTTTTATGAGTGGTGTGTGTGTGTGTGTGTGTACATGCACATCTTAAGAAGATGCTGACTCTGGAAGGAAGACAGGAATTTCCAAAAACATCCAGAAGGGCCCAAACGAGTCTCCCAGGCCAGAGACCACTACAAATCAAAGAATCTCTGGATTGACAGGAACGTCATAGGAATTCTGGGCTGGCCATCCCCCACCCCACCAGTATTTGGTGGTTTCCATTGGTTTCTTCTCCCTATTCCCTGTTCTGTGGCTTGTCCTTCCTCTGAGTTGAATACATGTGACACCTGTGGGAATCTGGCTGTTCTAGAGGTGAGAACACAGGACCAGCAATTTGAGGCTGCCTTTGCCAGGACTTTGCTTTGAAGATCTTCAATCTCTTTTCCTGAGTTTCTTTTCAGCCTTGGAAATTGAGATCCCTGGAGATTCTTACTATCTTTGAAGTCTATACCACAGGGCTGGGCGATCAGAGAAAGGGTATTATAAATAAAGTTTTTCTGGTACTTCCAGTTATAAACTCCCTCATGGGTCATGTTACAACAACCCATCAGAGTAGAGCGCACCTGTCCTGGGTCTGGCTTCCAGAGATGCAGTTAAAGATAAATAAGGAAACAATACCTAATGTTATGGTACGTAGTTCATGTAATTATATTTTATAGCCTTTATCGCATTGCATAACTTTATAAGAAATTAATTCCTTGTTCATTTTAATGCGATTAAAAAAGTCAAAATACTTGTTTTGGCTGTTAGTGCTCCAAAGTTCTACCATTCAAGCTGGTCTCCCAGTAGTTGAGCCTTTCCCAATGCGGACAAGGAGTAGGAAGGCCAGTGAGCCTCAGAGCTGCAAGGGTGGTGTAGCGCTGGGTGGGAGAGATCACCGCCTTTGGGCCCTGGACCTTGACTTCTGTGCCTTCCCAATTTGAAACTCATTTTTATTGTCCTTGTTCTTATCAGACCCTGAATATGCTGTCAGCAGCTCAGTGAGACTGGGGATTGTGAGTAGGGTTCTGTGGTCAGATAGAGCAGGGGTTGAAACGTTACTTTATCATTTACCAGCTGTGGAGCCCGAAGTTCAGTCTTATCTGTAAGGCGCTGTTAACACCTTCCTGGCAGGGTGGCTATGGGGCCTGTCAAACCCCAGGCAGAGCGCTGGGTGCAGAGGAGGCCTCGATTCAGGAACCTTTATCACTGTTGAAACTCTTCAGTCTTACGTACCCAATCAGGCTCCTCGCTGAGGCTTCTCAAATTTGGACAGTCCTGAAAGAATTGGAGGGTGGTTACCCTTCTGCAGGTTTTGGCGGTGAGATGTACAGTTTTCCACTTCCCCAGCCAGACCTCCAACCATGTCGAGCCCTCAGGGAAATACAACGGAGCTCCCTTTCAGAGATGAGAAGACTCCTGCCTCCCACTGGTGTTTGTTACGGTATCTTAGGATACTGCCTGGGGCAGGATGCATGTGCCCCCACTCCTGGGCCCTCTTACCGTGTTCTTCTAGCCCTCCCACAGACCTTCAGCCTGTCACTTCACTTTTCCGAGACATTCTTTTTCCACAAGATTGGAAAGAGGATGGTGCCTATTAAACAGGGCCAAATGGGCTGGTGTCCGTGGAAGAGCTTTGAAAGCAGTCAAGTGTGATCTACAGGCTTTTCTCATCCTGAATTTATTTAAATGTGTTAAACCCATCCTAGACAGGATCTTTCAGAAGTGAGTCTGCCTGTGGGAACCCCTTCCTCTGGAGGAAGATAGTTTTGGGGGCCAGGAGCTACCCAGCATTCTATCAGTCAGAGCACCTGGTCTGCTGATGTTGCCATCCATGCTCCGAAGCTGGCCGTGATGACTGCGCAGCAAGCGCTTGATTGCCACTCTTCTGCAGGCAGCTTTGATCTTGGAGGTGCCGAGCTTATCAAGATGTGCATTGGGTGTTGCTGTCAGACCAGTTATTTGTCAAGTCTGTTTTTCAGTTTTTTGGTCATGCTTTTCTCTGGAAAAAAGAAAGGAACTCAAAACATTATTGATGATCGCTTTCCAAACTGACAGGGTGTCATCTAACATTGTAATGGGGGCCAGTTTGGGCCATGACCTCAGGACTCACTTCTTAGACAGTGTTGATCTGATCCCAGACACTTAAAAATTTATAGTCTAGTCCAGAGGTCCTGTAAGTAGCTTTTGACAGAGAACTAAATATTCTGGAACCGAGCTGCTGAGCCACGAATTCACTGTGGTAAATCAAGACTCTGCTACTGCTCTGGGATGTGCCTGTGACACATGGAAAGAACATCACAGCATCTAGGAGAGGGAAAGGAATAATGTTCACCATAAAGGGCCCCCTACTTAAGAATGGACTCCTTGCCGGGGACCCATCTGTCCCCCCAGTCCTTGGGTGTCCATATATCTCCCTCATTAGAACACAGGCCCAGAGAGAACAGCAGTGTCTCCTCATAGTGGAGGCTTAAGTTGTGTAACTAGCTGGAGCGTTCTTATCAACTGTGCTTGTCGATGGATTGCAGCCCTAGATGACTGGATTTCAAATATTTCAGATCTCCAAATACAGAAGGTAGACAAACCGTGTTGAACTAGATTTGGCTTTTCTTTGAGTCCGTGGGGCTGGCGGGTCCTGAGCACCAGCAGTCAGGGCCAGACTGCAGTGTTACCCAGTGCCAAAGAATAGACCCATTTTTTTTTTTTCCTGGCCCTTGGACACACTCTGGAGAATTCTTTTTTCTCTATATTAAATTCCTGATATCGACTTGCACATTATTTGGTTATTTCTCATGCAAGCAGAGGGCAGATTATGAAACAATTTATCTCTTCTTGTTGTTTTCTGGTGGTTTCAATTTTGCACAAGTGGCCACTTAAAGCATATTTAGGAAGTGGCAGTCCAGTGTGCACGCCTGAGTAGTTTCAGCGCTTTTCTGCCAAATGGTGAATTTGTTCGGTTTGGTTTGGTTTTTGAGTATAAGACAATTTGTTGTGATAGTAATAATATCTTAACAATAATAATAGCAAACCCTTGTTGAGTGCTTTATGTAAATAAACTCAACTAATACTCCCATTGAATTCATTCAGTTTATCTTGTATTCGCCTCCAAAGAAAATCTTAAGAGGTTGTAACAGAATTCACACTGGAGAGAGGCTGCTTAGTGATTTTTTTGCGACTGCATAAACAAACTTGGCTCTAAACAGGAAGGGATTGAATATTGAGCATCCAGGATTGGAGGGGCATTAAAAAAGGTATTAGAACTGTATTCCTTCTGTTTAAAAATTGAGTAGAGACTTGGAAGATAAAAATAGACATAAGTCAAGTTTCTAGAATTGCAAACTGCAGTGTCTGAGATGCAGAATACCCTGGATGGGGTTAATGGCAGATTAGACATAGAAGAAATTGGTGAACTTGAAGGCGTAGTAATAAAAGCCATTCATAATGAAACAGAGAGAAAAATATTCTTTTTCAAAAAGCGGAGAGAGCATAAGTGAGCTGTGGGGTAACTTTAAATGGCCTAATATGCATATAATTGGGGCTCCCTGATGAGAGAGGTAGATAAGAAATTTTTTGAAGAAATAATGCCTGAACATTTTTCAAATTTTATGAAAACTATAAATCCTTAGATCGAGAAAG